GTGAAATGTTGCACCATACATGATTATGAATCATCTGAAAAATTTATTGATTTGGTTTGTGTGCTTTGAAGGATAAAATTGGGAGAGTGATAATGACATTGACACGAGTGATGATAGAAGGAGAGTTTCAAGATTGTTATGCGTTAGATGGAGCTAAATCAGGGAAGCTTTGTATTAATCTCAAATGGACTCCAAGGCTTAAGCTAAGAGACGCCTCTTGATTCTTTTTTTTAGAACCAAAGTATTCGAGCCGAAACACAAACTAATCTCCGGGGACAAAAAATATGAATCTACTCTTGTTGCATTACTATACTTATTTTTGGTTATGTTTTTTTTTCTCTTTTTCTGTTGTATATATGTTGATGTTTCATGTTTGTTGCCAATTTGCCATCCTTTCGTCCTTGCCATAGATGATATAAATATAAATATTAAATAGGTACCTACTTTGCTTAATTATATTCATTTTACTCGAGTTTAGTTTATTTAGGACCACATATTCCCGTTTTCATAGTTAATAAACTATCTAAAACAACTAATACAAACGAATAAAGTACAAATATTTATGTAAATACGTGTGTGAACAACCTATAGTTTTGATAGGGAAATAACTTTTAAATGATAGTCGACTGTCGATGATAATATTAAACCTAAAATATCATTTTTGAATATCTTTCTTGTTGTTTTGTCTTTCTACCTATATTTTTATCAATAAACATAATATAAAAGCTTAGAAGTTTATAATATCTGATTTTTTTTTTTGGAGGTGTAAACGTAGGCAATAATAATCGTGGCGTGGTCGTGGAAACAAACTAATGAATTTAAAAAAATAAAAGTGTACAGCTCAATATAATAAGATTCTTATTCTTATTGTCAAAGGAAAAATATGCTTAATTATGCTCTTCTAGTTTTTCGCCAAGTGTTACATTTCTCCCGAATATTCAAAAATTAAACTCGTCGAGAATCTTCCAGTATGTTAGTGACTCGTAACAGAATTTGACACATTA